TTCAGGAAATACTTTCCATTCAAAACTCAGAAGGGGACTTGAAGTATATTTTTCTTAAGTCAACCTTTCACCTACGACAATAAAATGGTCATGCTTTAAAGTCATAACTAGCATCTTTCATCCGACAAAAAATATGTACAAACAAGTCAATCATTGAGATGAGTCAAAATGTGAAAGATAGGGATGGGAAAAAAAAAAAAAAAGAAAGAGAGAGAAGGCTAAACCACGTAATTAAATCAAAATCGTTGATTAGAAACTGTTGATATGGTCCATGTGGGGCCATCAACATTTCGATTTTAAGTTGAATCAATCTATTAGAATGAGGATGCAACCTAAATTCTATTTGGAAGACTTTGAAAAGTCTACTCGAATATAGGAGCGCCAATACTCGTTTATCGCGAAGTGGCCGATCGAGTGGTCGGCCACCACTCGACTCCCACCTAGGCCGCCGCTACTCGAATAGCCTTATTCTGCAAATATTTTGTTTACGTTTTTTGGCAGTTTTTTACTCGTATTTCATCCCATATATTCATTATCAGCTTTATCCATTGCATTGAGACTTCATCTCACATTAAACTCTTCATTGTATTATATTCATAGTATGTTAGGGATCTTGGTATTATATTTATGTGGTGTGCAACATATATTGAGTCAATCCTTACATTCTACACAATAATATATAATCTTCTGTTCTTGTTTAGTCTACTTTTCTAGCTGTGGTATAATTTTTTTACCACGTAAATCTTGTATTCTTGTTTAATCTATTTTTCATATTGTCATATTATTATACTCGTTTAAATCATAATAAGTGGGATCAGAGTGAGGTTTGATCAACTCAGTTCGAAGTTATATTTTTTGATGGCAACTATCAAAGATGAAATTCTGTTGCAAGATCACAACACCAGATTTTAGCTTTAGCAAGTAAATATAAGAGCAGTGCTTGCTCAAATAAATTCGGATGATGCATTATTAGAATTTGATAAGATGCCCTCAACTTGGTGTATGAAGGAAAGACAAAGCAATGATCGAAAGCCCCTATCATAGATACATCTTTATTTTTCGAATAATATTCTTCGAAACGTTTTAAAGAAGAAAACCAATGTTACATTATGGTTAAAATTGGTGCAGTTATGCATGATGAAAAGTCTAACCAGCAAATTACATCTGAAGTAATGCATGTATTCTCATCGTAGGACAAAAGGTACATCACTAAAAGATCACCCTCTGGTATTTAAGGAAATTGTCCCCGATTTGTTAATCTTGGAGGCTAAGTACGATGAAAAAGATTTAGAATTGATATTATTACATTCGCTACCCATTTCATACATGTCTTCTAGAGATACGATCTTATATAATCGTGATACTCTCACAATTGAAAAAGTTTATAATGCACTATTTTCAAAGGAAAAGATGAAGCATCTTGTTGGATTTAAGGTTCATGGAGATGGCATTGTTGTAGATGGTAGTTGTGTGAGGGGCATATCAAGGTCTAATTACAATAATAAAATGTGAATTATTACAAGAAATGAGGACACAATAAGAAAGATTGTTATAAGTTGCAGGATAAGAATAATTGGCTATTGTAAAAAATAATAAGAAAACTTAAGGTGAAGTTAGTATTGTAGAAGATATGTACAAGGATGGAAAACTTTTTGGTTATTTTTGATGGTGAATAGAAATCTGACGAGGATTAAACTCCTCATACAGCTTGCACTTTTCCGAGACATGTTCTTGGTTTGAAAAGAAATTTATCTACTTGAATACTCTTGATTCAAAATGATCCCACTACACTTGTGCAAGTAGAGTCTTGAAGGTTAGTAAAGATGCCCGCATTATGTTGAAGGGGCAGAAAAGGTCCCAATTATATGTTTGCTTCGTTCCACAGAATCTTTGAATATTAATCAGTAGAAGTTAAGAGCCTGGATGGATTTTGAGAGTTTGGTTCATTACCGTCGGAGTTTACTTTAGGGTCCATATTAAAGAATCCATCTCAATCATGTTCAAAAGTTAAAAATAATTTCATTTTTGCCATTATCACCCATGATGCATTTTTATTTATTACTAGACACAGATCAGAAGACATATTAGGCCTCCACAAAGATACAATGAAGCTTAAATTTTATTTGAAAGAATACTTGGAAATTTCACGTGAAGTCAAGCTGGGAATTTAAATTGGAATTCAATTTTAGAGTTAGTGGTAAATTTGAAGAGGTTTTGGAAGAGTCCAAGTTGCAATCGAAGTAAACGTCGAACTAACGCTCGCCTGGCGCCTTGGTCCCACTTGAATGTTAAAAAAAAAAAAAAAAGCACTAGCGCTCGCTTACCCGCAAGGTGACCACTCAAGTAGCTAGCCACAACTTAATGCCCACCTAGACGGTCGCTCGAGCGACGGTCTCATTTGGGGAATATTTTGTTTGCATTTTTTGCAATTTTTTTACTCCTATTTCATTCAAAATATCCCATTATTGATTTTAACCATTGTATTGGGACTTCAAATTATATTAAAACTCTTCATTGTATATATATATATATATATATATTTGTTTGCATTTTTTGCAATTTTTTTACTCCTATTTCATTCCCTAATTTCTTTTATTGAATTGATCCCCATTAAAACAAAATTCACTTGACCTTGTCTTGGGGCATCTTTGGTTTAAGAGAGAAAGCTCGCCAGAGAAAAAAGTCTTTCTCTTCCCGTCTCGCCCACCAAAGGGCTAAGTTGAGTGATTCCTCTCTAGATTAAGATTTAGAAAAAATTGCCTTCGAAATTAATCAGCAAAGCAATCGAGAATCTCATCATCTCTTAGGTGGGCCAGCGTCGTTCTCTTTCTTATTCTTCATCTGAATCCTATTTTTTCCTGGGCCCTAGCGTCAGGGATTGGACCCGGCAAGCTCAAAAAGAATCCTATATATATATATATATATATATATATATATATATATATGTGTGTGTGTGTGTATGTGTGTGTGTGTATAACACATATTGAGCCAATCCTTAGATTCTACACAATAATTTGCAATCCTCCATTATTGATATTAATAAATTCTCTGTTTCTGCATACTGTATATTTTTACCATGTAAATCTTATGCACTTGTTTCATCTAATTTTCATATTACCATATTATTATACTCGTTCAAATCATAACACAACCCATTCAAAAATGGTTAGGTTTTACGTTTTGATAGTTAAAATCTATTATGCTGCACTATTATTCTTTTAGTACTTACACGAATTTCTTTCCTATCCCTTTATACCAATCTAAGGGAATCTCTCTTATTAATTTTTTTTTTTTTGATACCCAGGTCTCCCAGCTTTGTCAGACTAATTCCTGGACCTCAAGCCTCCAGCCCCTCATTAGCTTGAGGAAGTTAATCGCGGGTTGTGCACTTGTTGGCTCCCAAGTTCCTGCATGGCTTATACTCCTTCCCCTAAGAGAGCTCTCGTCACTGCCTTCCAACACCTTGCCTTTGAGATAAATCCCCCTTCCAATATGTTGCCTTCCAGGAATCGAACTCTCCACGCTAGGTTTGTGAGCCCACCAATGCAATTGTTCCACCAACTCGGATGTGCACCGGGGGGCAGCTTGAGGAAGTTAATCGCGGGTTGTTATAATTATAGAAGGAGGTTTATGTAGAATCAGGATAAGTGATTGTTGAGATTCGTGCAGAAACATTTAGTTTGAATTTGGATGAGAAGTTTCAATTCCTCATAGGGGAATGAATCAAGATATTTTTGAGTCGCAGTTCTTGATTTACCAAATCAAACCGTTTATCCAATTAAAAACATTACCTTTGGTGCCCAAGATATGTGGTTTATAGTTGAGAACTTCAATTTATGCAACAACAAACTTAGTTGCTAAATAAAATTACAGCATGTTGCCCTTCTATAAAGAAATGCGAAGTTGCTCATTGAAATCTCAAACTTCCAACTTCACTTCAAAAGCGCCAATGTTTTGAGTCTCCTAAAAAATCATGGGTCAACTAAAACTCTGTTTGGCCCCTATTATTGCACATTATAATGAGTGATAGTAATTTTTTTAAAAATGTGCAGTTAAAAAGGAATGAAAAGTTTTGGGACTTATGTGTAATATTATTTTATTAAAAAATATATGGTTTATAAGAAAAAAGAGAAAAATAAATTATGATTTAATGAAAAATAATGGGTGCCAAATTGCGCATAAATAACGAAACAAAGTTAGGAAACAAACAAATCAGCAATTGGACAATTCTTAACGGACAGGGCCTACGTCCAGGGTACCTATTGGAGGGGTCACCGTGGGCCCGAGGGGCACCAATTAGGCACCCTGTTTGTAGGCCCTGTCCCGTTATCTTTTTCCTAAGCAATTAGGCCAAGGCACGAGTATTTAAATACTCCAATTATCTATTGATAATGTTTTAATTTGTTTCTTCAATGTTTAATTAAAGCATTCACTATAGTAAAATCGAGTACGAATGTGATATTTAATTATGATCTTATCTTCCAGGTTTAGTGATGAACAAAACACCATGTCTAGAAGAAATTAATGTTGACATAAAATTCATCTGGATTCATCCTTCCGGTCATCTTCTTCGTCTTATTCAGAAAGTTTTTGATCAGCTTTTACTTAATGTGTTTTCCTCGTGGTTGCCATCATTCCAGTTTCCATAGATGGAGCCAATTTGTTGATCGTAAAATATTGATCAATAAATTCCTCTAATCTGACCATGAATTTTTCCATACTCTATGATTTGATGATCCAATTGGAACAAGAGGAGAAATGACTACTTGGGAAGAAGTTGCTAAATTTTTCATGCCATTTTTTATTCCCAACCATACCTATTTATAAATTTCCAATAGGGCCTCAGGGGTAAATAAAATTGTTGTGTTTTATGTTATGTGGCGATTGCTAATGAGTGGGCTAATAACTAAATCTTTTAGCCTTTCATGTTTTATTCACCAATCTACGTGCTCTCATTGTTTACGCTTGAGGTTAAGTATAAAGTTTCGCATTAGGAACGTTCACTGATAGTGGCATTGGTTCGCCTGGGGCCAAGAACTCAAGGTATCATGGATAAAGAGGGCCAAAATTTTCATCATTGATCTTTTTGTAACATCGATTAATAATGGTGGGATCACCTGTATGAGTCGTGGGGCTGATGGGCTGATCCTAAGTGCATTAACACTATCTATAGATGTCGAGTCGACCAATGTGGGACTCCCTTTAGCACGTGCAAGCTATGTAATTTATGAGGATACACACAAAATACATAGAAAATAATTTAGAAACTGAACAATTTTATTTTATTTTATTTATTTATTTTTATTTTTTTGAAAAAAGTAAAACCATGTACATTATGCCACACCACTTCATGAAGAGATGCACCCTTTGGTGGTGGGGGGTTAGAGTGAGTCATGTGGGAAGCTAAAGGTGAAGATAATTGATATATTTTCTCTCAAGTTTTTCCCTCTATAAATAAAACATCATAGCTTTCATGTGAGTATATGATTGCTTTCCGGATGGATTCCATGAGTTGATAAATATTGGGAGAGAGGAAAATAAATAGATATACAAAAAAATGATTCTTCTCCCTAAACGCAAAAAATAAAACGTCCTTTTTGACAATTGTATATGCTGAAAATACTCTAAAGAAGATAAATCACACGAAGGCACAAGAACATAAGCAATTATTTTACGTGAAAAACTTCCCTGGTGAGAGAAATAAAAACAACGAAACCTAATCCAGTCAAAACGTCTACTATTAATCAAAAAAATGAACACACAATGTCTTCGCTAAGAATAATCAAAGACTACAGCGTATATTTCTTTAAGATAACAAAAATCTTGACAATATTATATGAGATTAAAAAATATACCCATACACTTGTGGTTATTAGTCATGCACACAAATCAATGTTCTCGAACTTCAAATCCAATCCACTATTCAGATTGTAGCTCCATATCTTCTAAATCTCTCCTCCAAACTTCAGCTCGATCGACCATGGATGACTAGGATCAAAGTTTTGATGAAATTTGGGCACAAAAAAGGCCTTTTTTTTTTTTTTTTTTTACTTTCTGGAAAAACAGCCAAGGCTCCCCCCCTTTTTGTATGTTACAATCTAATGAGCTTTTCTCCACCTAAAAGAAAATAACTAAACAAATATCCCCATTCCAACTATGGGGAGGAATTTGCCATCACCGACAATCGAACAACAATGTTTAAGCTTTTTTTGGTAGTGTCTTTGTCAACATATCAGAACAATTATGATCGGTACGAACTTCCTCAAGTTTCAGTAAGTTTTCATTCAAAGCATCCATAATACAATGCTATCGTTTATCAATGTGCTTTGATCTTGCATGAAACTAGAATTTTTATCAAGATGAATAGCACTCAAGCTGTCACAAAATAACACATAACTTTGCTGGTTGAAACCAAGTTCTCTTATGAACTTCTTTGTCGATGAAAACTCTAGTCGTCTATGTTGCTGCAATAAACTCTGCTTCTGTCATATGAAGTGTAATACACAAAAATCTCGATTACCATCCTATAGGCCCACCAGAAAAAGTAATCAAATAACTCGATATAGACTTGCTAGTATCTACATCTCTTACCATATCTGTATCTATGTATCTAACTAACAATGATTGTCCATTTCCAAAACTAAGTCTCAAACTAGAAATGCATTCCAATGCTCTTTTCCTAGATTTGACAAGAAACGACAACTACACCAACTGCAAGGGCTATATCCGTTCTTTGGCACACCATAGCATGCATTAAACTTGCAACTGCTGAAGCGTAAAGAACTCTTTCCATGTCTTCCTTTCCCTTATTTTTAGGAAAAAATTGCTCAATGCTCATTCTAAAGTGTGTAGCGGGAAGAGAGCTAACCACTTTAGCCCTGTCCATACTGAACCTCTCTAGCATACTCTTAATATACTCATCATGTCACGACTGATTATTATGTCAAGGATTTTCCCTGCTTGTCCTAAGTCCTTCATAGCAAAAGGCTTAACTACTTCTTCAATGTGTCAATTCTTGAAGCATTCCTACCAAAAATAAAAACATCGTCAATGTAGATCAAAGAAATGATAAAATCATCATTAGAGAATTTCCGAACAAATACACAGTGATAAGAAATTATTTTTCATGAAGCTAATTTGTTATCGGTTAGGTCATTGAACTAGTCAAGTCCCTAACTGGAAGGCCTAGGGATGGATTGGTTGGAGCTAGACCAGGGCTGTAGTCTGATCCAGTTCCAGAATTTGTAAAAAATAAAAAATAAAATAAAAATTTAAAGCCATTAAATTTTAGGGAAAATTTCATATACCATGTATTAACTATGCACAATCCAAAAATCATGTTTCAAGTTTAACTAATGCAAAAAACAGGTTTTTATATAATTAATTAAAAATATTTATTAATTAAATAAATAAAATCACAATTACAATTAATGATCACGTACACATAATTATATGTCACAGATTTATTCACAGGTCACATATCATCAAATTAATTGGTCACAAATTATTTCGAGGTCACGAATTAAAACTTTGATAAGTCACAAATTATTTTGTGGTCACAGATCACAATTTATCTATCAATTTTATAGGACACAGTTTATGTCATTGGTCACAAATCCCAAAAATTATAAGTCACATGTCACATATTTTCAAATTTGATGGTCACAGATTACTTTTTTAGTTACAAAATAATTAAATTTTAAGTCACGAATTAATAATGAGTCACCGGGGGCCAAATAATTGGTCAGAGACATCAAACACCCAATCCCGATCCACCATAGCACTTGGTCACAAACACTGCCCCGACCACAACGCCATCACAACCACTGCGAACACCAACTCAACGACATCACCAATACCACCAACAAATCACCGCCTCTAACAACCACCTCCACCGTCACCGGAATCCACCACAACCGCCATCACTGCCACGCGATTTATGTAACGTGATTTTATACGGCAAGTGTACGGTGTCAAATTTTGTAATATAGTAATAGAGTAAAGAGCGTCGAACCCATAGGGATTGTAATTTAGATTTCACTAAGTACTATAATTGTGCAATTTCCACTTTATTTTGACAAATGTATGATTGAATGGATTTAATGTTTTATGAGTGAATAAATTAAACTAATCTAATGTGAATTGGATGCGACAAAATTGGGGAATACAAATTATCAAATGAGAAGTCTAGGGATTGATTTCACCTAACTTTCAATTATGATTTAACGATTTCCAATAATTCCATTTAATTTGCCCATATTTAAAAGCAAGAATCCTAATATATTCCTCTCCCCTCTCTCGAGTGCTGGCTAGAAAATAATCCTAGATTTCAATTCCAATATTTCAATTCCGAATTGAAAATCAAGAATTTATAAAAGTCTCGATTCTTGTATGGAGTAAGTTTCACAATTTACACTTTCTCTCGAAACCCATAAAACATATGTTGTGTCAATCCTATGATCATGCCTAAATTCCCCTCTCTCGAGTGCCGGAATTGACTAGCATCTATTCATTCAATTATTGATCAAGTAATTGAAAGCATTAAAATCACGACACAATTAAATATATGTGGAAAATTCAAAGAAATAATTATAAAATCATCAAGCCATTCTCGATTCGGCTACATCAAACCCCTAGATAATTTGTTTAATTCATGATATAATAAATGAAAATCATACAAATTATAATAAACAACATAAGGAAAAGGATAGAAAAAACTAGTCTTTTGGGTAGATCTTCAATCTTCTTCCTTGATGTTGTTCCTCCTTTCTTTTTGTGTCTTCAATTTTTGCCTCGTTCAAATTGTATGGTTGAAATCTTCAATCTTGCCCCCTTCCATCCTTTTTGAAAATAGGGGTTTTAAATGGTATTTATAGTAAGTTGGGGTTATTGGACGAATTAGGGTTGAGTTGGGCCAAGAAAAGATTCCAAAAATATAAAATCCCGTTTTAAAGAACAGATAGCGCTGGGCGCCATGGCGCCACGTTCACTGTTGTTTTCAGCATCTTGGCACCCACTTCGGGTGGAAAAGGCATTTTTCACCTTCTTTAGTATTTTTGCCATAACTTCTTCATCCAATGTCTAATTGAGATGATTCAAGATGCGTTGGAAAGGTAACTCAAAGGGCTATAATTTTTCTTCAAACGTCATTTCCCAAGTGTCAAACAACGTGTCAAAAATGAGTGTACAAATAGCAAAGTTCAATCTGTAAGAACCTTGCTACATCTACACCATGGTGTACACTTTTGTTTACACTTTGCCACGTGACATTACCCTGTTGGACAGTTTAAATTTCAAATAGCTTTCTCATCCAATTGACACTAGACAACAATGCAAGTGTCAATCAACGTGTCGAAAATCGAAGTACAAATAGCAAAGTTCAATCGGTAAGGACCTTACTACATGTACACTATGATATATATTTTAGTTTACAATTTGGCACGTGTCATTACCCAGTAGGACAATTTAAATTTCAAATAGTTTTCCCATCCAGTTGACACTTGACAACAATGTAAGTGTTAAACAACGTGTCAAAAATCAGTGTACAAATAGTAAAGTTCAATCGGTATGAACCTTGGTACATGTACACTTTAGTTTACAGTTTACCACGTGACATTACCCTATTGAACAGTTTAAATTTCAAACAGTTTATCTATCCAAATTACACTTGACAACAATGCAAGTGTCAAATAACGTGTCAAAAATCAGTGTACAAATAGCACAGTTCAATTGGTAAGAACCTTACTTCATGTACATTATGGTGTATACTTTAGTTTACACTTTGCCACGTGACATTACCCTATAGGACAGTTTAAATTTCAAACGGTTTTCCCATCAAATTGACACTTGACAATAATGCAAGTGTCAAACAACATGTCAAAAATCAGTTTATAAATAGCAAAGTTCAATCTGTAAGTAACTTGCGACACGTACACTATGGTGAACACTTTACTTTACACTTTACCATGTGTCATTACCCTATTGGATAGTTAAAATTTCAAACATTTTTTCCATCCAATTGACACTTGACAACAAAGCAAGTGTCAAACAACGTCTCAAAAATCAGTGCACAAATTGCAAAGTTCTATCGGTAAGAACCTTGTTACATATACACTATGGATTACACTTTATGTATACTTTGGTTTATACTTTGCCACGTGACATTACCCTGTTAGACAGTTTAAATTTTAAACAGTTTTTCAATCCAATTGACACTTGACAACAATGCAAATGTCAACCAACATGTCAAAAATCAGTTTACAAATCGCAAAGTTCAATCTATAAGAACCTTGCTACATGTACAATATGGTGCACACTTTATTTTAAACTATGTCACGTGATATTGCCCTATTGGATAGTTTAAATTTCAAATAGTTTTCCTATCCAATTGACACTTGACAACAATGCAAGTGTCAAACAACGTGTCGAAAATCAGTGTACAAATAGCAAAGTTCAATCGGTAAGAACATTGTGACATGTACATTATGGTGTATACTTTAGTTTACACTTTACCACGTGACATTATCCTATTGCAAAGTTTAAATTTCCAACAATTTTTCCATCCAATTGACACTTGAAAATAGTGGAAGTGTCAAACAACGAGTCAAAAATCAGTGTACAAATGACAAAGTTCAATCGGTAAGAACCTTGCAACATGTACACTATGGTGTACACACTTTAGTTTATACTTTGCTACCTGACATTACCCTACTAGACAGCTTAAATTTCAAATAGTTTTCTCATCCAATTGACATTTGATAACATTGCAAGTGTCAAACAACGTGTAAAAAATTAGTGTACAAATAACAAAGTTCAATCGGTAAGAACTTTGCTGCATATGCACTATAGAGTACACATTAGTTTATAATTTGCCACGTGACATTACCCTGTCAAACAGTTTAGATTTCAAACAGTTTTCCCATCAAATTGACTCATGATAATAATGCAAATGCCAAACAACGTGTCAAAAATCAGTGTACAAATGGCAATGTTCAATCGGTAAGAATCTTGCGACACGTACACTATGGTGTACACTTTAGTTTACATTTTGCCACGTGTCATTACCTTATTGGATAGTTTAAATTTCAAAAAAAAATTCCATCCAATTGACACTTGACAACAATGCAAGTGTCAAACAACTTATCAAAAATTAGTGTACAAATAGCGAAGTTGAATTGGTAAGAACCTCACTACAAGTACACTATGGTGTACACACTTTAGGTTACACTTTGCCACGGGACATTATCCTATTAGACAGTTTAAATTTCAAATAGTTTTCCGATCTAATTGACACTAGACAATAATGCAAGTGTCAAACATCGTGTCAAAAATCAGTGTACAAATAGCAAAATTCAATCGATAAGAACCTTGCTACATGTACACTATGGTATATACTTTTGGTTTCAATTTGGCACGTGACATTACCCTATAGGACAGTTTAAATTTCAAACAGTTTTCCTACCCAATTGACACTTGACAACAATGTTAGTGTCCAACAACGTGTCAGAAATTAGTGTACAAATAGCAAAGATCAATCGAAAAGAAACTTGCGACATATACACTATGGTGAACACTTTAGTTTACACTTTATCACGTGTCATTATCTTGTTGGACAGTTGAAATTTTAAACTGTTTTTACATCCAATTGACACTTGACAACAAAGCAAGTGTCAAACAATGTGTCAAAAATAAGTTTACAAATAGCAAAGTTCAAAAGGTAAGAACCTTGTTACATGTACACTATGGTGTACACTTTAGTTTACGCTCGGCCACGTGACATTACCCTATTGGACAGTTTAAATTTCAAATAGTTTTTCCATCTAATTGACACTCGACAACAATGCAAGTTTCAAATAATGTGTCAAAAATCAGTGTACAAATAGCAAAGTCCAATCGAAAAGAACC